GGATGGATCATGGTGGACAGTTCTGATAAAACATGGTCCACTGGAGAAGGGAATGGCAAACCGCTTCAGTATTCTTGCCTTGAGAACCCCATGAACAGTCTGAAAAGGCAAAATGATATGACACTCAAAGATGTCTCCAGATCGGTAAGATGCCCAGTATGCTACTAGAGAATAGTGGAGAAATAACACCAGAAAGAATGAAGAGACAGAGCCAAATTGAAAACAACGCCCTATTGTGGATGTGACTGGTGATGGAAGTAAAGTCCTATAATGTAAAGAACAATGTTGCATAGGAACCTGGAATGTTAGATCCATGAATCAAGGTAAATTGGAAGTGGTCAAACAGGAGATGGCAAGGGTGAACATTAACATTTTAGTAATCAGAGAACTAAAATGGACTGGAATGGGCAAATTCAACTCAGATGACCATTATATTTACTACTGTGCGCAGGAATCCCTTAGAAGAAAGGGAGTAGCCATTATAATCAACAGAGGGTCCGAAATGCAGTCAGTACTTGGGCACAATCTCAAAAATGGCAGAATGATCTCTGTTCGTTTCCAAGGCAAACCATTCAATATCACAGTAATCCAAGTAATCCCCAGTAATGTGCTGAAGAAGCTGAAGTTGAATGGTTCTATGAAGACCTACAAGACCTCCTAGAACTGACACTCAAAAAAGATGTCCTTTTCATTATAGGGGACTGGAGTGCCAAAGTAGGAGTCAAGAGATACCTGGAGTAACAGGCAAATTTGACCTTAGAGTACAAAATGAAGCAGGGCAAAAGGCTAACAGAGAGCCACAATCACAGAAAACTAACCAAACATCACATGGACCACAGCCTTGTCTAACTCTATGAAACTATGAGCCGTGCCGTGTAGGGCCACCCACGATGGATGGATCATGGTGGAGAGTTCTGTTAAAACGTGGTCCACTGGAGAAGGGAATGGCAAACCGCTTCAGTATTCTTGCCTTGAGAACCTCATGAACAGTATGAAAAGGCAAAAAGATATGACACTGAAAGATACACATGGACATCATCAGATGGTCAATACCAAAATCAGATTGATTATATTCTTTGCAGCCAAAGATGTAGACGCTCTATACAGTCAGCAAAAACAAGACCGGGAGCTGACTGTGGCTCAGATCACGAACTCCTTATTGCAAAATTCAGACTTAAATTGAAGAAAGTATGGAAAACTGCTAGACCATTCAGGTATGACCTGTCAAATCCCTTACCATTATACAGGAAGTGACAAATAGATTCAAGGGATTAGACCTGATAGAGTGCCTGAAGAACTATGGATGGTTTGTGAAACTGTACAGGAGGCAGTGATCAAGACCATCCCCAAGAAAAGAAATGCAGAAAGGCAAAACGGCTGTCTGAGGAGGCCTTACAAATAGCTGTGAAAAGAAGAGACGCGAAAGGCAAAGGAGAAAAGGAAAGATATACCCATTTGAATGCAGAGTTCCAAAGAATAGCAAGGAGAGATAAGAAAGCCTTCCTCAGTGATCAGTGCAAAGAAATAGAGGGAAGCAATAGAATGGGAAAGACTAGAGATCTCTTAAGAAAAAAATGAATGATACCAAGGGAACATTTCAGGAAAGATGGGCACAATAAAGGACAGAAATGGTATGGACCTAATAGAAGCAGAAGGTGTTAAGAGGAGGTGGTAAGAACACACAGAAGAACTATACAAAAAAGATCTTCATGACCCAGATAACCATGATGGTATGATCACTCACCTAGAGCCAGACATTCTGGAATGTGAAGTCAAGTGAGCCTTAGGAAGCATCACTACAAACAAAGCTCGTGGAGATTGTAATGGAATTCCAGTTGAGCTATTTCAAATCCTAAAAGATGATGCTATGAAAGTGCTGCACTCAATATGCCAGCAAATTTGGAAAACTCATCAGTGGCTACAGGACTGGAAAAGGTCAGTTTTCATTCCGATCCCAAAGAAAGGCAATCCCAAAGAATGCTCAGACTACTGCACAATTGCATTCATCTCACATGCTAGCAAAGTAATGCTCACAATTCTCCAAGCCAGGCTTCAACATTATGTGAACCATGAACTTCCAGATGTTCAAGCTGGTTTTAGAAAAGGTGGTGGAACCAGAGATCAAATTGCCAACATCCTCTGGATCATTGAAAAAGCAAGAGAGTTCCAGAAAAACATCTCCCTCTGCTTTATTGACTACACCAAAGTCTTTGACTGTGTGGATCACAACAAAATGTGGAAAATTCTGAAAGAGATGGGAATACCAGACCACCTTAACTGCCTCCTGAGAAATCTGTATGCAGGTCAAGAAGCAACAGTTAGAACTGGACATGGACCAACAGACTGGTTCCAAATAGGGAAAGGAGTACGTCAGGGTTGTATATTGCCACCCTGCTTGTTTAACTGACATGCAGAGTACATCATGCGAAATGCCAGGCTGGATGAAGCACAAGCTGGATCAAGATTGCTGGGAGAAATATCAATAACCTCAGATATGCAGATGACACCACCTTTATGGCAGAAAGCGAAGAAAAACTAAAGCCACTTGAGAGTGAAGAAGTTGGCTTAAAACTCAACATTCAGAAAACTAAGATCATGCCATCTGGTCCCATCACTTCATGGCAAATAGATGGGGAAACAATGGGAACAGTGAGAGACATTATTTCCTTGGGCTCCAAAATCACTGCAGATGGTGACTGCAGCCATGAAATTAAAAGATGCTTGCTCCTTGGAAGAAAAGCTATGACCAAATTAGATAGCATATTAAAAAGCAGAAACATTACTTTGCCAACAAAGGTCTGTCTAGTCAAAGCTGTGGTTTTTCCAGTAGTCATGTGTGGTTGTGAGAGTTGGACTATAAAAAAGCTGAGTGCTGAAGAATTGATGCTTTTGACCTGTGGTGTTGGAGAAGACTCTTGGGAATCTCTTGAACTGCAAGGAGATCCAACCAGTCCATTCTAAAGGAAATCAGTCCTGAATATTCGTTGGAAGGACTGATGTTGAAGCTGAAACTCCAATACTTTGGCCACCTGATGGGAAGAAATGACTCATTGGAAAAGACCCTGATGCTGAGAAAGGTTGAAGACAGGAGGAGAAGGGGATGACAGAGGATGAGATGGTTAGGTAGCATCACCGACTAGATGGACATGAGTTTGAGCAAGCTCTGGGAGTTGGTGATTGACAGGGAAGCCTGGCGTGCTTGGGTTGCAAAGAGTCAGATGCGACTGAGCAACTGAACTGAAGCATTCTGATGGTTGACCATGAGGTTTGTTCCTGCAGACTGGTAGAAGGCTTACTGGGTCACAGTTCCTCCCCTTCCTCTTCATTGACATGATTTTATTGAATCATTTGAAATTTTAGTTCTCTTACTGGATTGACCAATTTCTGTTTTTTAAAAAAGACTTTAGATTGTATGGAAACTCAAATAAGAAAGTGTACATAGAAGTGTCATTTCAATGAGTATTTCATTTATTTTTATCTTTCCAAGAGAAATCCAGCCCGAAGAGAAAAGCTTAGCAATTCTGTAAGAGCATTCACTTCTTATCCTAATGTGTCTTCCCCACACTGTTAATTAAATAGCCGGTCAGAAGGTAGAGTGGATCTCTTTTACGTGGACACCATTCCTGTTGTTGGTATTAAATAAAGCAGCATGAGTCTTCCTTTGTCTTTGCGTTGGGCTTCACGTCTACAGTGTCGATCATCTTTTGGATCCTGCTTGTTGTTACTGCTTTTGTATCCCTTGAGTGCATCTTCTGGAATTCTTAAGCAGCCTGCCGCCACCCATCGCCAGTGTGTATGAGAGTCAGAATTATTTTGCCTTTTGCACTTGAGTAGTAAACTATAGAATAGAATTCTATGAAAACAAAAAGAAATACTTTTTTTCTTGGAACTTTCATAGCATTGCTATCTTACAGTATTGATCTTGGTTCTTTAAGATCTTCTGTTGAGTTTGTAAATTTAGTAATTTAAATTTAATAATCCTTTGATTTCTTTGAATACTTCCTTGTTTGGGCTTCCTTTTTTTTCTTGACAGTCTGCTTATTTTACCTGTTAGAATTTCTTTCATGATACAGATTAGAATTTTAACTTCTTTTCTGTTTCCTGTGTTTTGTTTACGCAGATTCATTTTCCCCTGTTTTAATGGTAACCCTCTTTATTGCTATTATTGACCCCCTCATGTCTTTTGATTTTTTATTGTCCATTCATATTCAAGAACTGAAATCATTAATTTTTTGGTTGATGTGTTTCCTAGGCACATGGGAAGTTTACTATTTCTCTAACAGGCTTTCCCTGTGAAGCTCCGCCCCCCCGCCCCCTGCAAAGTTCCCTTGTTCCTTTTTGAAGCGATTCCTTCCCCAGACCTTGAAGCCACTGATCTGTTTTCTGTCCTTAGCTTGTGGCCTTGTAAGTCTGATGCTTCACTTAGTGTGATGCTTTAGAGTCATTGATTAGTAGTTCATGTTCATGTATCATGTCAACCTCTTGATATATGTTTGGCTTCTTTTCAGTTTCTGGTGGTTATGAGTACAGTTGCTGTAAACTTCAGCATACAGGTTTTTTTTGTTTGTGTGTGTGTGTGTGGACATTGTTCTTCATTTCTCTTTGGTAAGTGCTTAGGAGTAGGCTTGCTGGGTTGTGTGGTAACTAAACTTTATAAGGAACTGCCAACCTTTTTTTTTTTTCCCTGAGTTGCTATGCCTTTCTGCATCCCTAGTTGCTTCACATCCTTGCTGGTAGTTGGTATTGACTGGAACATTTTCCCCCATCATAAGGCCCATCATTTTGATTTTCTTCCATAAAATCGTAAGGTTTTTATCTAGACTTAAAGATCTCTCTGCAGTGGGACTATAAAGGAGCACCAGACAGCATTGTCTCTTTACTGGAGAAAGGGTCTTGGGGGTTCTGGCTAATTATTTATAGGATTGATGTAACCCTTTTTTCTGAAACTGTATGATTTGTGTATGTTATGGGATCTGTGATTCTTTTTTTTTTTTCCCCAGTATATTTTTGGAGATTTTAGCCCTGATGAATTCAATCAGTTCTTTGTGACTCCTCGCGCTTCAGTTGAGGTAAGACAAAATTTTGTTTTATTGAGTGCATGCATCGATTTAATTGATGATTATGTTTTAGATCTGTCGTCGTCGTCGTTGTTTTATTTATGCCTTTTAAATAGGAATTCCAATGTACAGAAAAGTGTGGAGGCTAACATGAAAAAAATGACTGGACCCACCCATTGGATTTGACTATTGCTATACTTGTAAATAGCAAAACATTACAGAGACAGTTGAAGCTTCCGTTGTTTCCTCTCATTCCCCTTATTCCCCAGAAATACTGAAACTCTGCCAAAAATGCACAGTACATTTTGTTTTCTGGCTGTGATTTTCACCTCTTAACTGTCTGTGCGTGTACTGTGCACTGTTGATTGTTTTGTGTGGTTAAAAATGTCTCCTCAGGGGCTCAGTAGTAAAGAATCTGCCTACGATGCAGGAGATGTGGGTGTGATCTGTGATCCCTGGGTCAGGAAGATTCCCCTAGAGAAGGAAATGGCAACCCACTCTAGTATTCTTACCTGAGAAATCCCATGGACAGAGGAGCCTGGTGGGCTCCAGCCCATGGGGTTACAGAAGAGTCCTGACTTGTGACTAAACAACAGCAACAAAGTGGTTTCATACTGTATTCATCATTTTGTAGTTCGTTTATTTTAAGCTAAATATTCTTTAGATTTATTTGGACATTGTGTTCTTGTTCTTTGATTTTAATTGTTAAATTTTATTTTTTTGGCTGTGCCCTGTGGATCTTAGTTCCCTGAGCAGGGAATGAACTTGGGTGCCCACAGCAGTGAAAGCGCAGAGTCCTAACCACTGAATTGCCAGGAAATTCCCCATTAATTGTTAAATATTGAGCTTACCTGTTTTCATGTTGAGGGGGACTATCTAGGTCTTCAGTTCTTCCATTATTATAGAAATGTGGCGGTAATCATATTTTGTTATGTCTCCTCATGCTCGTCTGTGGGTTTCTCCAAGAAATACTCCTAGGAATGGAATTTTGGTGCCCTGCAAGGAATAAGCATCTTCAGCGCATCTGCTTTCTAAGTGGTTTTCACAGTCTGCATTCCCATCACTCGTGCATGGGAGTTTTTGTTGTTGTTCAGTCACTCAGTCATGTCATACTGTTTGCGACCCCATGGACTGCAGCACACCAGGCCTCCCTGTTCCTTACTTACCATCTCCTGAAGTTTGCCCAAGTTCATGTCCATTGCATCGGTGATGCCATCCAGCCACTCATCCTCTGATGCCCTCTTCTCCTCCTGCCCTTGATCTTTCCCAGCATCAGGGACTTTTCCACATTTCTATTGAGTCAGCTGTTTTCATCAGATGACCAAAATACTGGAGCTTCAACTTCAGCATCAGTCCTTCCAACCAGTATTCAGGATTGATTTTTCCTTAAGATTGACTGGTTTGATCTCCTTGCTGTCCAAGGGACTTTCAGGATCCTCTCTTCTCCAGCACCACAGTTTGAAGGGATCAGTTCTTTGGTGTTCTGCCTTCTTTATGGTCCAGCTCTCACAACTCTACATGACCGCTGGGAAGATCATAGCCTTAACTATATGGATCTTTTAGATCCCATTAAAAAGAAAAATTTTTGAGAATTCCCAGTATGCTGTGCTCAGATGTTCTGATTGTGTCCAGCTTTTTTTTGACCCCATCGACTGTAGCCTGTTAGGCTCCTCTGTCCACGAGATTTCCCAGGCAAGAATACTGGAGTGGGCTGCCATTTCCCTCTCCAGGGAATCTTCTCAACCCAGGGATCGAACCCGCATCTCTTATGTAAGTCTCTTGTATTGACACTTGGATTCTTTACCACTCGTATCTCCTGGGAAACCCCATTCTCAGTATAGACATACTTAAAATTTTTGTTAATCTGATGGAGTAAGTGGATTTTTGTTGTTTTAATTTACATCTCCCAGATTACAAACATTTGAGCACCATTACATTACTTTCATATGTCCATTGGCAGTGTAGATTTCTGCTTCTGTTAATTACCTGTTCTATATCTTTTGTCCATATTTTTATCAAATGGCTTGTCTTTTTCTTATTGATTTATAGGGTTAATAATCTTTGGGAGTACATTTTAAAGTTTTAATGTCATGTATTTTTTTTCTCATAGTTTGTGGATTTTTTAAAATATCTTTTAAGAAGTTTTTTCCTTCCCTGAGGTCATAAAGACATTTAAAAAGTTTTTAAAGTTTTTGTTTTCACTTTGGCATGTAATAAAACTTGAGATTGTGGTGTTGAGTGTATGTGTGTATGGGTGTGTGGGTATTGGTGGTGGGGATCTAACCTCTCATCCCACTGCAGTAGCAAAAAGATTTAAAAATATTACCTTCTTATTGAAGGTCCTGAGTATTGACCTCACAATATGATAGCACTGTTTTCAGAGTAAGTTGATTTGGTTTTGTATCTAATACAAATAATTTTAAGCTTTTTCTGTTGCTCAGTTTCCTTTGTGAGATTTTGTATTTTTGCTTGAAAAATTCTCTATTCTTATAAGTAACTATATAATTAAAGAGAGAACTTTGAACAATTCTTGCAGTTTTATTCTGCTGCATTTTTATTATACCCAGTTACCACAAAGGGGTATCTTAGAGGTGATGGAGGTTTGCTACATTACAGGCACCATATGCAGTGTATAGAGTAAAAAAAAAAAAAAAAAATACACGTTTTCTGTGCCTGAACTCATTCTGGCATTCAGTAATTCCCAGTTATGCACTTACCAGGTTAGCAAACCAAAGTAAGTGTTTTAAACACACTGAACAGAAAACAGCAGTATGGCCCTGGGGCATGCCAGGGGCTCTGTTTTCAGATCCTGGCTCTCCTACTGCCTAGATTGTGTGTGAGTACACTGTGATTTCAAAAAACAAGACTTTGAGTGCCTTACAACTTAGATTTTTATCACCAGGGGGCACCCTAGTGTCATCAGTGGAATAAAGGCTGTGTCTGGGAGTTTGCTGTCTTCTGTGACTGCAGAGGGATGTCATCTTGATTTGTGGCTTTCCCAGACACACTGTTTGGTTCCGTGTGTCCATGCCAGTGGTAAAGGCTGGGGTACCAGATGGGAGCATTGGAGTGGTGTGTGGAATGGTCTAAAGGCTCAAGTGCAGCCCACCTGGGCACAAAGTGCTTTGCCATGATGAATGCTGGAGTGCCCCTGTGTGGTGAAAATAGGCACTACTCTCAAGTCCAGAAACTGGTCAGTTCCGTTTGTTTTCTTGGGCTTCCCTGGTGCCTCAGACCATGAAGAATCTGCTGGCAATGCAGGAGACCGGGGTTCGATCCCTTGGTCGGGAAGATCCCCTGGAGAAGCCCCATGGACAGAGGAGCCTAGCAGGCTACCGTCTGTGGGGTGACTAAGAGTGGGACACGACTGAGCGACCAACAGTTTTGTTTTTTTAGCTCCTTATTTGTCATTGATTCTCTCAGGAGAGTACTTGGCGTGATAAGCTTTTATCTCTGAGACTGTTGCATTGACTTGCATTGACTCACTAAGAGTCAATAGGAAATCAACTGAAGCAGTAGTTCTGAGACAGTTGTGGGCCTGAGAGTCTCCTGGGTGTCTCTGAACATGCCAACCCTGGGACCCCATCCAGGCACCCCAGGCTGTTGTACTGCTTGTGCTATAGTGTGCAGGCTTTGAGAAGTGCTGTGGTAGAAGCCCTGTTAGGCTGTAATCCTTTTGTTCTTTTGTTCTGCCTTCAGATAGCAATTATCTATCCACTTACTTACCCCTTTCCATTCTAAACTTTCTCATTTCAAACATAGCCATTTGAAACATTCCAGCTCCTAAGTATTATGGAATAGCCACGAGGGGCAAAAAATTGGCATATTCATGGTACGTTCCTGCATTTTACAGAGAGCCCAGGCACTGGCCATTTTGCTGTCTCTCTTGCAAACACGGAATGCGATTGCCAGCTGTTAATCCAGTTATTTAAGATACCCTGTTAAAAAGAGAGCTGTGATTCTCAGGCTTTTCTTTCTCAGCTGCTCTGTTCACTGTCCCCAGGCTTGGTTCCTGCCTATGGCTGAGTGGACGTGTAGTGATGGTGAACAACGTGTGCAGATGGTCACTGGTCAATGGACCAAGTCAAGCGTTTATAGTATTTGATGTGCACTCTGCAACTCCTGTGAAACAGAGGGTGTGTCGTGAGCCTTTTGTAGCTGGTTGACATGGCCATTGGAGCCCGTTTTTATTTTTTACCTCATTTTCGGATCTGTTTAACAGCAATCAGTATTGGAAAGCTTTCTGATGGTGTTTTAAAATGAAGATGTTTAATCTTACTGTCTCCCCATCTGTGTTATTTTGTTAAAAATAGTGTTATGAGAAGTTGCATGGATAAATAGCCTTTTAATGAGGGTTGCTTTAATGAAATAGCATGTGTTGAACTTTAACAATTTGTTGAGTTAAACTCTTTTCCCCTTCCCTGGGCAGCTTCCTCCATACGGCGGGACAGTTCTGTGTGGCGCACAGGCTGCTGGTGACCTCCCCGACGGTAAGCCCTGCCCTCTGCTCCCCAGCGCACGCGCTGCGGGTGCACGCTTCCTTCCTTTCCCTTCCTGCTTGATGTTTTTGCTGTAAACTCCAGTAGCTTTAATCACCGAACCACTTTGGCTAATGAATTAAAGTTTATTCTGTGCTTCAGAGTGTCAGACCTCCAAGGTGAGTTTTGGAAGTAATCGCTCGTTTCTGTTTGTTTTGTAAGAATCCTCTGGCACAGGTGTACCCTTCACAGCCAAGGCTGTCTGTGCAGGTTCTGGAGCGGGCTGTCTGTTGAGTGCACCGGCTGTTGGGCCCAGAGCGGGCAAGTCTCTGAGTACATGCCTTCCACCGGCTCAGTGGCAGCTCGTTTCTCTTGTCCTGAGTTTGTGATTATGTCCACGCCTGTCATCAAGGCTCTTGGGAATTCAGGTGACCTCTTCACCTCCTGTCCTGTTACGACTGAGTAGCTGGCTGTCTCTGTCCCAGACACTGAGCTGGTCACTGGAGGTGATGCTTACTGAGTTGCAGCCTTCTCATATATGTCACAGTGTCACTAACAGTAGGGCCCTCTCATCTTGCTGGCTGCCACTGCACGTGTCAAACCTGTCTGGACCACTTTTCAGTTTGCATCGTGCTCCCGGTCCTCACTGGCCTTGGAGAAGCTGGAAGCCGAACCTTTTCTTTGAGAGCAGTGATTTGGTTCCCTGTTTCTATAACATTGTCAGAAAGGGTTTTATTATAATTTAGATTTAAATATAAACCTTGCAGAGACCATGTAAACTTTTTATCTACAGACAAATGAGAAAGTGATTTTTTTTTCCATTTATTTTTATTAGTTGGAGAAAAATATGGAACGCTTCACCAATTTGCGTGTCATCCTTGCACAGGGGCCATGCTAATATGTGCTGCCAAAGCGAGCACGAGAAAGTGATTTTATCTAAAATTATTAGTAGCTTTATAAGAAACATAAGGTAGAACAGTTCTAATGATGACTTAGGACGAGGATAAAATAAGAGATGCCAGAGGGACCCAGGCACCCTTGCTGGGCCTCCCAGCCTCTGGGGCCCCCTTGTTAATCTGTGGGTTGAGGTCCCCCTGACTTCCAGTACTTGGCACACAGCTGCTGTGCTGCCAGTGTTTGCTTGGGCTCACAGATGTCTCGCTGTCTTCCCTGTTGTCACAGCCCTGGTCAGGTCGTGCCTTACCATCCTCCCAGGGGCTTCGGCTGCAGACGAAGGCTCCCCCTCCCTCTCAGACCCCCAGTGTCGCAGTGCCTCTCCCCTCTGCTCCACTCGACCCCCAGTGTCGCAGTGCCTCTCCCCTCTGCTCCACTCTCTCCTTGCTCTCACCCACCACGTCCCCCACCCACTCCAGGCTGGCATCCCTGCTCAGTTATGCTTCCTGGCTGTTTCTCTCCGTTCTCCCCTCTCTCCTCTCAAGTCCATCTTTTAATCTGCCAAAAACACAGCTGCGCACACTGAGAGAAGCCAGCTTAAAGGACCCTGTTCCCCAAGGCCTCTTCTGTCCTGTTGTGTAATTTTCATTTCTCCTACAGTGCCAGCTCGCTGTCCAGTAGTCCATGAGTCTGCCCCCCTGTTTTAGGCTGAGTTCAGCTGTGGGCGGCGGAGACCGCAGCGCATCCGGTTCTGTGTGCACGGTGCAGTGTCTGCAGAGTTGTAAACCCTCGGGAGGGTTTTGGATGAGCGCTTAAGAGTGATTTGTTCTGGCACTTCCCATCACGGCCGGCTCCGTACACTCTAGGTGGGGGCTCCTAATGTGGCCTTTTTAAGTTAGTCCCCAAAGCAGGAAGTAGCCTTACCCCCTCCTCTCCCCACCCCTCCCCTCCCCTCCCCACTCTGGTTATCCTGCCAGCTCCTCTGACCTCTCTGTAGTTTCTGATTCAAATAGATGTCTTTTTGTGTGTGTTGAGGAGCATTCTGTTTTTTAAATTTATTTATTTTTATTTGAAGGATCATTACAATATTGTGTTGGTTTCTGCCATGTATCAACACGAACCTCCCTCCCACCTCTCACCCCATCCCACCCCTCTAGGTTGTCACAGGGCCCCAGTTTGAGCTCCCTGAGTCATACAACAAATTCTTGTAAAGCTGTAGAGGCTTTATCTCACCCACCCTCTGCTTAGTCATTTCCATCTTTGATGTCTGTCTCCCTATAGATGTAATCCCCTGAGGCAGGGACCTTGCCTTCCTAATCTCTGTACCCCTCCTCCTTGATAATAAGCACTGCACGTGGCTGAGAGCTCCATGATTGTTGACCTGACTCACTGTAAGCTGATTGGAGAAGTCAACTGAGGAAGCCACTTAAGTAGTGGTTCTCAGACAGACGTGGGCATGAGCATCTCCTGGGTGCCTCTGAGCATCTCAGACTTCAGGACCCCATCTGGGCACCCCAGGCTACTGTACTGTGAGTGCTGCAGGGCACAGGCTTTGAGAGGGCCGTGTTAGGGTGTGTTTATTGTGTTTGAGCTAATTTTCCTTCCCCCAACAAATCTTCTGCCTGATGATCCAAGTGCTCATGAGCTTGTAGGCCCTCCAGGCACTTTTCTAGCCCCACGGGTTGGACCTTGTCCAGACTTCTCTGCCCTGGAGTGCAGTGCATGCGTGTGTCCACAACCCGTGTTCCTGCATAAGAAAAGGAACTGAACTGTTCTGGGTAGGATTCAGCCTTGCAGGGATTTGGTCAGACTATCCACAGTCTGGTAAATGTTTGGGTAACAACTGTCGCATATCAGAATGGTTCTATTAATATCACATCACATTCTGGAGTGTTGTATGTTACGATAAGATTAATGATCTTATCTTGTAGAACGCACTGTGTCTGTCAGGAATAACCAAACTCTGCACAGACTGCATGGTAGAGCACATAATAACTTCACTGTGACTCCTGATGTATGTCCCAGTCTCTGAACGGCGGCCTCCCTGCTTCAGCTACATCCGTAGTGGTCCACAGAGCAGCTCTGCATCCTCACAGCCTCAGTGGATGGAGCTCCCTGGAAGCAAACTGGACAGCTCGCTTTTAGGGATAATGGAGAAATATATTTCCTTTGGTGATTGTTTTCAAAAAGGAAACCACGAATCAGTGCTCAGGGGCCAGAGGATTGAAACATGTCCTCTCGGTATCTCTATAGATGGTTAGCTGTAACCATCATCATGTTCTTTTTTCAGGAATGTTTTGCTGTCTGGCTGGTGTATTCTCCCCACTCGCAGGGTGTGTGATATCAAACCAAATGGAGAATTAGAAAACTATTTAGGGCCCTGGCCCCCCTGTGGGGCTTTTTTCTCCTCTAAAAATACTTCCAAAGTAAAATATATTCAGTTTTCTGAGTAGAATATGATTATTTGGGTACTGTGATTTTTTTTTTTCTTGAAATAAACGCCTTGAGAAAAAGTGGGCCTCTTGTGCTAGACTTGAGAAATCTTCAGTAGTGCATGAAAAATAAATTAAAAAACACATATCCTTTCCTAACTTCAAAATGTTTAACTATTTCATCAGATATAAGATGACATTGGTGTTTAGTTTCTGTTGAGAAACTCAGTTGACTCTGAAACTCACCCTAATTTTCAAGATGTGATCTGTGAAAAAAATGTCCATCTTAAATGGATAGAACATGTGGATTGTTGTCAGTGGGGAAGAGGTATTAAAGGATTTCAAGGAGATTTTTAAAGGTTTGCAGTCCTAACTTTATCTTTTTGGATTTTTGGAAGCACCTTCCTTATTCATGGAGTTAATCCAATATGAATTAATTTAGGAGAAGTCACAGGCACTCATGCAAGGCCAGTTTTGGGCTTCAGTTAAGGTTGTTAATAGAAGAGTCTGGGAAATGGATAATTTGAAAGAGTGCTTTTGTATAATTCATACTTTTTGAATTATTAAATTGGACAAATTAGAGAAACCATATATATATATATATATAATATATAGAGAGCGAGTATGAGCAAGCAGTGGTTTTCATTCCCCAAGTTGGTCATCTTGATTTTTAAAAATTAAGTTTTCCAAAATATATATGCCCTAGTCTTAGGTATAAAATAAACTAATAAAATCAGATTGCATTGAGGGACATGTTCAGACAGGCAGAATAGCATTTGTTTCCTATTCGTAGTTTCATTTTAATTTCTACCTTAACTACCGTGAGTGCAATATGGATACCAGCTTCTGTATTTTGTATCTTCAAACTAAATACAAGTTTGTGGTTATTATTTATTTCAGCAGATGACTTATTTAGCACAAATTAAATGTTATTGCTTTGTTAGTTACTATAAGACTTTAAGGTTTCAGTTTCAAAAAGAAACAATTACTGAGACTTTTATAAGTTGTATAGCTGTGTTCTTAACTAGTGGGATATTTACTGATCATTTTCTTTCTAAACAGGGCACGATTATCAGAGAATTGAATTTGGTGTTAATGAAGTAATTGAACCCAGTGACACTTTGCCGAGAACTCCCAGCTACAGTATTTCAAGCACATTGAATCCTCAGGCCCCTGAATTTATCCTTAGCTGCACAACTTCCAAAAAGCTCCCTGATGACATTGATAAAGAAGTGAACTACAGCTCCGCCAACTGCCAGTACCCGGGCCCTGCCCTTGCCCTGGATGGCGGCTCTCATGCCGAGGCGGAAGCTTTAGAGAACGATGGTGTTCCCGGTGGTCTTGGACAAAGGGAGCGTAAAAAGAAGAAAAAACGTCCCCCTGGATATTACAGTTACTTGAAAGACGGTGGCGAGGGTGGACCTTCAGCGGAAGCCCTGGTCAATGGCCATGCCGGCCCAGCAGTCCCCAACAGTGTAGGAGCTGAGGACGCAGACTTGATGGGGGATATGCCCATGGCAGGAACCCCCCGGACTTGGGGCAGCCCTCAGGATGCCACGGACTTTGTCAGCGACGCCGGGTCTGCTGGGGCTTTCCCCGGAGCCCTGGACAGCGGGGCCAGGACTGCAGGGCAGCCCGAGGTCTGCCCCGGGGCCGACTTGGAGGCCTCCTGCCTCCCTGCCGAGGCCGGCAGGGACACCCTGTTGAGGACAGCTGTGGCTCAGCCCTCCGTGGGGACTGATACTACTGAGAACCTTGGAGTCACTAATGGACAGATACTTGAATCCTTGGGTGAGGGCACAGCTGCCAATGGGGTGGAGTCGCACACTGTGGAGAGCTCGGACTCGGACCCCGTCAAGGCCGAGAGCGCCCCACCTCCTGCGGGTGCCCCGGCCTCCGCAGCGGGCACTGTGCCTGCCAGTCAGCCCGCCAAGTCGTGGGCCAGTCTTTTTCATGATTCTAAGCCCTCTTCCTCTTCCTCACCTGTGGTTTCTGTGGAAACTAAGTATTCCCCTCCCGCCACGTCTCCCCTGGTCTCTGAAAAGCAGGCGGAAGTCAAGGAAGGGCTGGTTCCAGTTTCAGAGGATCCTGTAGCCATAAAGATTGCAGGTATAGTTCAAGAGATACGGGTCTGAGGCCAAGATGGGAGCAGACAGTCTGTGTTCAAACGAATTTCTGAACAATGCCTGTGCCTTATGTGTCACTAAAAGCAAAATGACATATGAGCAGAATGGGGTGGGGAGGGATATCTTACTTTTACATTAAGTGGAAAATCCATGTCCGTTATCAGTCATTTTCTGTTGACAGATTACATTTCCACGTCTTGCCTTCTGACCATGTAATTGTGCTCCCTTGTGTGACTAATGGATAGTCCTGTCTGTGTTGCAGTTATTACAACCTCGGGGTCGTAATCCCTGAGGATTCTACTCACTTTAGAGTTATTTTTTAGGATATAAGAAAGTATTGGGTTTTTTTCTTTTTAATGCCTGTTTTGTATTGAGTAAATGGATTTTATTCAGTTTTAGCACAGCAAGGCCAACTCAACTGGAAAAGAAAAACTGCAACAGTTTGGCCTGAAGTTAATGTTTCATTTGCTATGCTAAGGCTCAGAAAGTAGGGCCAGTTCACAATAAAACTGTAAAGCCTCATGGCTTCTGTTTCTAAAGTTAAACTGGGAAGTCAGAGGCAGGAGCATGTATGTTTTTACACATGACTAAGAAGCTGGGGCTGTTTCTCAGGATTCATTATCCAAAGAGGACCAGTAGCCAGCACTTCAGGTTCTTACCCCATTAGCCCAGTTAAAATGAACTGTCTTTTTTTTAGTTTATTGGCTGCACTGGGTGTGTGTTGCTGCTTGAGGTTTTTCTAGTTGCGGAGAGCAGGGGCTACTGTCTGGATGTGATCGTGCTTCTTATTTTGGTGGCTTCTCTTGTTGCAGAGCACAAGGTCTATAGTGAGGGCTTAGTGACTCAGACGGTAAGGCATCTGCCTGCAATGAGGGAGACCCAGGTTCGATCCCTGGTTTGGTATGATCCCCTGGAGAAGGAAATGGCAACCTGCTCCAGTACACTTGCCTGGAAAATTCCATGGATGGAGGAGCCTGGTAGGCTACAGTCCATGAGGTCACAGAGACGGACACGACTGAGCAACTTCACTTTCTTCCTTCATTTTTTTCTTTTAGTAGTTGTGATGCATGAACTTAGTTGCCCCAAGGCATGTGGAACCTTCCTGGATCAGGGATCAAACCCATGTCCCCTGCATTGGCAGGCAGATTCTTAACCACTGGATCACCAGGGAAGTTCTGAACTGTCTTTATTTAGGCTTTAATGTTTGCTGGTTTAACATTTTGGCATATCTGACAGCATTTGGTACCAGGATGAGGGTGAAAGCAGTAGAGAGGTGCAAAATGTATTCTGTTTTACGAATGGTCAGAATTCCATCAAATTCCATGTGTTTTATAAAACACATCCTTTTATTGGTAGATAGATGACAGCAAGCAATACTTGAAAAAGTTTTTAAATGAGCATTTTATTCCTATACAAAATACATTATTTTGAGTAATCTAGGTGTCTGGATTTCTCTTAAAATGAGAAGTTAATTGATAGATGCATCAGCATTTTGGACTTTTAAAATGATAACTTTTAGGTTATTTAGGTGAATTTTTTTATTGTAACTTTTAAAAGCGTGTTCACTGCAAGGGAAAGCTGTAAGAGTCAAGGGAGACCAGTAACAGCCTTTGTGTAGATCATTAAGTTAAACATCGTTCTTAACCTGTAGCGGGAGATGCATGGTGTGATGCTTTTAAAAGCGGACATTCTAATTTTAAAGTCAGAGTGAAAGTGAAAGTCACTCAGTCGTGTCCGACTCTTTGCGACCCCATGGACTATACGGTTCATGGAATTCTCCAGGCCAGATTCTCCACTACTGGAGTGGGTAGTCGTTCCCTTCTCTAGGGGATCTTCCCAACCCAGGGATCGAACCCAGGTCTCCCACACTGCAGGCGGATTCCTTACCAGCTGAGCCACCAGGGAAGCCCTTAAAGTCAGAAGGCATTGTCATTATGTTTATATTCCTAAAATTGCTTCACAATAGGTGGTGGTGGTTTAGTTGCTAAGTTGTGTATGACTGTTTTGTGACCGCATGGACCATAGCCCGCTAGGCTCTTCTGTCCTTTGGATTTCCCAGACAAGAATACTGAAGTTGGTTGCTATTTCCTTCTCCAGTGGACCTTCCCAACCCAGGGATTGAACAAGGGAGTCCTGCCTTGTAGGTGGTCTCCTGCATTGCAGGCAGATGCTTTATTGCCCAGCCACCAGGGAAGCCCACTTCACAAGGAAAAACCTCCATTCCTGGGAAATTTCCTCAATCTTTATTTAAAAGGAGAAAGAAAAATTCATTTTAAATGTTTTAAAGCATTCTAGTCAAATAACTTTAAATGTGGTTTGATACATAGTTTGCTGTGTATGTTAAAATCTAGTTTACTTGCTAAAATCTGATGGTAAACTACTCTCTAGAACATTGTGAGGAAAGTCCCTGGTCGTCCAGTGGTTAGGACTCGGCACTTTCACTGGGCCAGGGCCTAGGTTCAAGTCCTGGTTGGGAAACTGAGATCCTGCAAGTGATGCAGCTTCTCCAAAAGAGAAATAAAATAGAGCAACACTGGGTGCTCTTAGTTATTTGTATTCGTGTAGAGTATTGCTACAGTCTAATCACTTTTGAATTGATGGTCCCCCATTACCTCCCCCCAAGATTTATTTTTTTTAACCCTGTTTTTGATTAGGTCAGATAATGTTTTCATTATCTGAGCAAAAGCATGGGTCCTTTTAAAATGTTTCATTTGTTTGAGCCTGGTTATTGAACCTTAGAAATACAGAATGTATTTGCTGACAGTTTTCAACTGAGTAACTGTTGGAATCACACTGAGCTTAGGTAAAGTGGATTGTTGTTTTTTCCCCCTTTGTCATATTCCCCTCCTGGGAGGTTTACTTGATAAAAATGAAAGGCGTATTGAGGTTGTAGTAGGTCACATCACTACCGCAGACTTAACTTTAATGGTAGGCCCACTTACCTTAAACAGCACTTAACTGTGAAATTCTAGCTCCTTAGTTAAAAGATCTGTTGATGTTGGCTGTCATGGAATTTGACTTGCATTAACATCTAAGCGGTTCTGCTGAGAGTAATTTTTATGTGTATCATTTTTATTTATTAAATTTGGGAAAGAAACAGGAGGAAACAGCAGTTTGAATAAGTTTATTCTCTTTTGAGTTCTTAGAAGGATATCATTATCCACAGGCCAATTTTTGACCCCACGGTCATTTATTTTGGGTGTCCGCATTTCTGGATCATCTCTCTGCCCTGTCATTATGTCTGTACTTAATGAATGCCGGGTAGTTTTGTGTAACCACAAGTGAAATGTAATTCAGATCAACTGCACACAGAAAATAATAGTCATACACAGCATTTTGGAGTGAAACATAGCCAGATTTCAGTTACTCATGGTCTGTGTATCCATTACTGCATTGCATTCTGCTTTTACGTTCTTTGGTGGCAAGGCCACCTTCATGGTGTCATTTGTCAACATTTTGTTCCATTCGCTGTTTTTCTAAAGTGTAAACTCTGATTTAAGCAGGTGACGGAAGGGAAAAGCACTTCCCCATCCTGGTGGAAGCATGAACCTGCACAGGAGGCCTGCAGAGGCTTGGGGAGGCTTCCATGTTTCAGGAAGTGGTTTATGTCAGTCTGAGAGGGAGTATATTCCATTTTTCAGTAGGAATGACTGAGCCAGGAGATGAGCAAAAGGAACATGAAAATCTTAATTCTTATAGCTTGTTTTGAAACTAAGTGCAAAACCTGAGGCACAGACCCATGTTGATAGTAAGTGTGACAGATACAAGCAGCAGCCTCAGCTGCTGCTCCCTCCAGAGCCTGGAATGGAACATAGCCTGGTGAGTGATGAACATTAAAGTCCTCCTGGGCTTTTACTGGGGATCACTTGTCCTCTCCCAAACCTGAATTATATAAAATGCTTTCAGATCACACACAGAGTTATTTCGTTCTTTATGTTTTGCTTTCAAAACTGTACACCAGTGTATTCTGTTTTAAAGGTGTGTAAATAATGGTGGCAAGGAAAGAGACCAGGCTGAATGCCCAAATAGGAGCAAGAATTTTAGTCTCAGAGAACTCTGTAAACTGAGGTCTTAGCTGAAAAACATTCTGTTCTGTGGGGTATTGAGACTCTAGTCATGCCATTTATTATGAATTTTAGTAAAACACACTTAATAGATGATTTTATACTGTTTTAGACCTTAAAATTGTCACTGGAGAGAGCCATAAAATCACTACAAATTGGATCTGCTCAGAAAAATGAATTCTTGGATCTGACAATATACCCCGATTGAGCTTTGCTTTGGTGGTTTATAAATAATATCTATTTTTCTACTGTCCTTGGAAAATAATTTCTCTAGCATTTTTCATTCTCTTCAAATTCTCCCAAGTAGCCCAGGTGGTGACCATGCAGCAGGCCCTGAGTGGAGGAGGTCCAGCCCCTGTGTGCAGACTCACATGGGTGAGAGTTCAGTTCACATCTGACTTGACAGGTGTATGTCCTTGCAGGTGTTTCTGTTCTGTATCCTTTATAGACCTCCCTATATGGGACTCCCTCTTCCCCTATGACAAAATGTAAGTTGATTTGTCGCCAGTGGGTAATGGCACATTCTGGTCACTTAACTGTCCTCCACCTGATAAGATAACCAGGATAGTGTGTGTTCTTGCACAGTGAAGTAATGAGGAAGAAAACACTTGGAGAATATTCTAAACCGTTAGGAAGATGACAGAAAGGCAGGTCAACAGCATCAGAATGTCACTGACAAGCCAACTGTTGAGCCTGAAATATCAGTGAAAGTTCTGTGCCTTGCGTTTTCATGGATTTTAAATGGTAATATGACCTCTAGGTGTTGACTTTAGGAAAACAAAATTTGATGCATAAAATATGTAAGAATAATCATGGCTTATGGACTTGCACGTTTCATAGTGTTAGTATTGCCATTGAGTTTATAAATCATTTCATTTCAGTGATTTGTGGTAAGGTATGTGGTTTACTGTATATGTCTTGAATTGTAAGAAAGGCTCTTAACCACTCAATGTTTTTGCCTGTCAGCAGATTTCATAAGGTTGCACTTTAATTCAGCCATTTAATGTTTGAGCTATTACAGAGGTGAGAATAACGGTTTCAATTTTGTATCTTCTGTGTGATATGGAGTCGGTGCTGGCATTTTATGCCATTCCTGTAACACCATTCCTCTGCAGACCTGCCAACTCCTGTGGAAAAGATGGCTTGAAGAGAGCACCCTCCTAAAGTTACTGTCTAAACAGATCCAAGTAGTAAATTATACCAACAATGATGGATTGAAGAGAAGGCTTTTCAGGGGGAAACTTGTACTATAGTCAACTTCTGATAATTTGCCCTGAAAGAAGGTAAAATAGATAACCAACAGTGATGACTTGGGACCATAAGTCAGATTTAAAGTTTCAACCCCAGGAAATACCCCACTCTCTCTCTCCCCTTTGGCTGCCCTTCCTGGTTTTGATTTTTTTGACCTCCATAATTACAGTGCTTATTGGACTTTAGCAAAATAGTAAATGAAAACAGTGATGTTGTTATAAAAGGAACTTAATTAAATAGTGGTTATACCAAAAAATTGAAAGCGGTGTTCATACTGGCTTGTCTGTGAATCGTGAATATTGACTTCTGAATTAGAGCAGTACCATTCATTCATTCTAGGAGGATTCACTGAACAGGATGGGGACTGTTAGGATTACCTTTGTCTTCGCACCTGTGTTGTTGGGGCGGGAGGAGAGGACCAGCACTCCGTGGGCCGTCAGGTGTTAGCGTCTGGATCAGCGTGTAGCCGTTGGAGCTATGCCAGGGAAAAGATGCTCAGTGCACAGTGTTGTAAGACTGAACATTAAGAGAAGAATCTCAGACAGTAAGATGCTTAATCTTCATTTTTTCTACAACCTTTCTTTCCTTTCAAAATATACACACTCACAAAGTATTCAAAACTTAACTTTAAGGAATTGAAGCAAACATTTCCATTTGAAGCACTGAAAAATGTTGGTCCTCTCAGACTTCCATCCTGTAGTCCCCTTCCTTCTCTCTCACTTGTATTAGCTCTTTATTTCCTGATCAGGATTAGGACCCTTTGTGAGGCACTGACCCTGTGAGACATCATCCAGACCCTCCCCATTTCCCTGCAGGGGTGGCACTGTCTGCCCCAGGTTGCAGGGTGAATGAAGTGGTGGAATCGGGTGGCAGACCCTTGTTTCCTGGCTTGTCTTCCTGGACTCTGCCCTTTGTCCAGTTCTCTGTTGGAATTCCTAGTCCTGCAGGCTTTCTTAATGGTGATGGAATGATCTAGGGGCTTCCCAGGTGACTCAGTGGTAAAGAATCTACCTGCAGTTGCAGGAGCCACAGGAGACATGGGTTTGATCCCTGGATTGGGAAGATCCCCTGGAGGAGGAAACGGCACTCCACCGTTTTTGCCTGGAAAATGGTCAGAGGAGTCTGGTGGGCTACAGTCCAGGGGGTCACAAAGAGTCAGGTGTGACTGAGTGACTAACACTTTTCACTTCAACTCCACAGGTTGTTCCACACAAACTTGCGTGGAGTCATTTGCTGTAGTCCACAGCTATTAGTCTCCAGTTTACTTCATCCTATGTGGCTGGTGAACACTCACTGTGTGCTATCCATGGTCTAGGTCAGTGGGTCACGGTCGGCCTTGCCTGGAGGACTCACCACGGAACACGATAGGAGAGGAGCAGCTGGAGCTCTTAGCAAAGAGAGAAGCAGGGGGAAGGAGGCGAGGAGACCTGATGGAGCCAATTTGTGTCTGCTTGGAAGTTCTGTTGTTCAGTCAAGTAGTTGTGTCTGACTGCGACCCCTTAGGAAGTTCAGTTACCTGCAGTTATTGAACAAACCACTAGGTGATGCTAAGAGGCTTAGCATTGGGGATGAAAGAGTGAAACTTTTATTTCTGGTTTGTTTTTTTTTTTTTTTAACCTGCCTGCTCCTTGGGCAACCCTGGGACTGGTTCAGGGGAAGGGTTGATGTAGAACTAAAGGTTCTGTCCAATCAGCACACGCAATTTTCCAGATAAATGTTGGAAAGGAATCAGATAGTAGTCAGTTCTTTTTTTTTTTTTTTAAACTTTATTGCATCTAAGATATGTATATTCAGGTATATGGATTATATGTGACCCCATGGACTATAACAATCCATGGAATTCTCCAGGCCAGAATACTGGAGTGGGTAGCCATTCCCTCCCCTACAGGATTTTCCCAACCCAGGGATCAAACCTAGGTCTCCCGCATTGTGGGCGGATTCCCCACCAACTGAGCTACCAGGGAAGCCCAGTAGTCAGTTTTAAATCGGCTGTATTCACAGATTCCACAGGGCTGGGATGCTTCAACCTCCAGGTGTTCAGATTATTCTGGGCAGGCAGCTCAGTGAAGAGCGTGAGAGGGGAGGTGTTTTCCAGCCGAGAGCAGTTAGTTCCTGACCCTTTTTGCACCTCCTTCCCCTTTCAGAGTGGGGTTGGCCTTGTCATAGATGATTTTTTTTTTTAAATCTGACAAAATACACACCCAAAGCACCTTTAACCATCTGTACATGCATTTCTGAGGCCGGTAAAACAGTTGTGTGGAAGAGAAGTTTCAGATAGGATCTTGCATGCATGTCCTGGTCATTTGCTGTCTGTTTCCTTCAGTGTGTGTATTGAGTGGGAATTGATGCTGTCAAGCCCTTTCCCCTCCTAGCCCACCCCCACCTTGGGACACTTTGCTTCCAGCATCATCAAGGAAGTTGATGCTGCTATTTAGTAGCCCCCCTACCCCATAAACCGTGTTGAGTCTGCCTTTCCCCTGTTCCCCCCTCCTGCCATCCCAGGATCTCCTGAGCCCCTGCCGTCCCTGTGTGTGTTTCCTCTTGGTGGAAGGCACCACACTCAGTTGGAGAGATTTCCTCTGGTGCCATTTGCTGTTGCACGCCTCCTGTCTCCCTCCTCAGCCAGGCTTCCCGCCCCCAGTGCCCTCCACTCTGGCTTTCCCCTCCTGAGGCTCTCCAACCTGTGTCTGCTTCCACTGCTGGGTCCAGCTGCCCTGTCCTCGATCACCGTGACAGTTTCTCCTCAGCCTGTCGCTTGGATGGGGGTGATCCAGAGCTCCATTCCCCACCCATTGCTCTCAGGATATACAGCCCTGAGCTGCAGGGTCCCGTGTGCGTGTGTGAGTGCAGATGTGTCACTGGCTGGTCTGTGAGGGTCAGTGTACTATTCACTGGTATCGTCCAGGCACCCTTATTCGAGCCTGTGAAACTCTCAAACTGAGCCCCTCATCTCATCATAGTCCCCCAGAGCCAGCAGAGAACCTGCTTGTCCACATGCATGTCTCCTCTGGGCGGAAGGCAGCCTGCTCAACTAGAGACACTTCAAAATTTCCGGTGCCGTTTGCTGTCGCAAGCCCCAGCCGCCTCCGGTTTCTCCAGTCTTTGGATCTGGTGGACCGTCCCCTCCCCTGCCCCCGCACCCCCCACCCCCCAGCAGAACCTGCACGTGTTGTCCCCCCCTGCCCCCCGGTCTTCAGGCTCTGACCGGCAGGGCCACCCCTCAGTCATGTCTGCCTGCAGGTCCTGGCGCCCAGGCAAGGCTTAACCAACAGCAGCATGGCATTTATCAGAGGTCCTTGTGTTAGGAAGTTGGTTTTGAGTTTTATGACTGTGTGCCCCATATGGAGAGCGGGGGTGGGGGTGGCAAACTTAGTCTTAACTGAACAGATTCCATGGCCTCTCTTTTGAGTTGGTCATGTTTCACTTTTTAATAAACGGGAAAATTATTCTCTATGCTTCCTCAGTTAGAGGACAGAGGGCATTTTATCCTCACAGGAAAGAGGGAGGAAGTGGGTGTGTTTGACATTAGAACCTTGCGAATTAATTTCTTCATTTAACACTTAAGTCTGGGACCTGCCAGTGCAGCTCTGTATTTAGAAAAGAAAGGTTTCTTTTGTTTTGAGTGTTGCCTTGGGGTGGGTGCTGATATCAAATTCGTGCTCCCTTGTTGCACTCTTCACAAGTCATGGGAGGCAGTGTTGTGTGGCTGCAGGTCATGTGTTTCAGGTACTGACTATGCCTCCTGGCTCCTGTGAGGTCACAGGCAGGCAAGTTAACCTGGAGCCTCGGTTTCCTTTTGGTGAAAGGTGATGGTAGGGCTACCCCGGGATCTCTGAGGATGAAGTACAGTGAGTTAACACTGTGAGCTGGAATGCACTTGCCAAGAAAAACTGTGGCTGTCACTGTTAAAGGATTCGTAAGGGGACACAGGGGACCTTGTAATAAAACAGTTCTATTTAAAGCGTAAAACATTATTTTATTGCTATTTTAAGACCGGGGAAAAGTGATGTCAAAGATGAATCTGAGGATAACAAAGCTTGTTCCTAAGTCTGTTCCCTAATACTGTTAATACTGTTTTTTAAGCCTTTTCTGTTTCTCATAAAACAGTTCTTGTGCTTCCTAGTTGATAAATGTCAGTGTTTGGGGGTGGGGGGCAAATACCTTTGAAAATTCTAATCATTCAATAATTACATGATAGTGAGCTGAACGAAGCCTTGATGGAGCCTGCCTTCCCTGTGGGTGTGACTGTGCTCTGTAGTAGGCAGTCAGCTCCCAGAGCAGAGCAGGAGAATTGCTCCTGAGATGCCGTTAACGCCTTCACTGTGCTCCCGTCTTTCAGAGTTACTGGAGAATGTCACCCTGATTCATAAACCGGTGTCATTGCAACCCCGCGGGCTGATCAACAAAGGAAACTGGTGCTACATCAATGCTGTATCCTTCTCAGATGCTGTCCCCAAGCTGGCTTTCTGCAGCATCCTCTTGCCAGGGCACGTTGACTTAGTTCAGCTTCTGTGGGGCGTCCACAGAACTTTGGATTTGAAGTTTTGAATCCAAAACTTTGGTTCCTTATTGCTTATCAACTGGGTTATTTCTCACCACCCCCCCCCGCCCTCCCCCCCCAAAAAAGATGATGACTGACAAAATCAAGCAAGTTTAGTTCTCATTAAAATGATCCTGAAAAAAAAGGGATGGGATTCCTGAATAGTAGGGTAGAGTGACCACTTAAACTGGAAATGTTGTGCTAATTGATTTAATCTTGGTTAAGTCAAGATCTTGTTTATAAATTCCTTGAATATCACAAGGCAGTTGTTGTGGGGATTATTTGTTTTGGTCCCTTTTGTGTTTACATATCTCCGTTGTTCAGTGTTCTTGGCTTATTGAGTTTTGTGTGCTCTTTCCACACTCTGGAGCATCAATTTCGTTTCCTTTACGCTTCCTCACTGCTGTTGTGTAGACACTGCAAGCCTTGGTGGCTTGCCCGCCGATGTATCACCTGATGAAGTTCATTCCTCTGTATTCAAAAGTGCAAAGGCCTTGTACGTCCACACCCATGATAGACAGCTTGTAAGTAAGCTGCTGAGAGCATGTCAAGGAGTGGGCTTCCCCCTCTGATAATTAGATTCAGATAGCAAAATTTTTGATTTCCTATAAATCAATCTTGTTAGTTCTTTTTTTTTTTTTAATTTACTGTTCATGATTTTGTATGGAAGTTAACCAGAAATGCAGTTGTTTTATCTGTGTTCTTCAGTGTTAGTTGAATAAATTTTAATGTTTATTTGCTTATTTTTTTAATGTTTAGCAATTTGTGTCTCTTAAAAAGATTTAAGAACTCACTAGCCTTTACAGCATTGGTTACCTAAAGTTTGCTATCTTCATACAAGGTAATACTCTACTTAGCCATCAGGTCTCTTTAGTGATAGTATGTCTTTTTTTGAAAAACGTGCTGACTAAATTCATTCATGTCTTCTATTTTTGCTTTATATATCTAAACTGTCATTATTAACATGATATAAATTATGATATTGATGTTGATGTTGAAAAAAGTGTACTAAACATTTTTTCCCCTATGTTTAGTGTTCGGCTAATGAATGAGTTTACTAATATGCCAGTACCTCCAAAACCCAGACAAGGTGAGTGGAAACAAGGGCTTCTGATACCATTACATATGGGGAGCTATGAAGTCAGATGACTAAGACTGAGAAATTCAGTCTTGCTGGGAAAAAAATGTCTTTTTACATGCAGGTTGCTACACCTAAGCTCTTAAGTTTGGGTGGCGGTGGGGGGAATTTTGGTGATCATGCTTTTTGTCATTTCAAGACTTGATTGCGTTGTGAAAATCTGTGTCCTGTTTCCGTTGCAGCTCTTGGGGATAAAATCATGAGGGATATCCGCCCTGGAGCTGCCTTTGAACCCACATATATTTATAGACTCCTGACAGTGATCAAGTCGAGCCTGTCTGAAAAGGTGGGAACTGACGTTCCTTAGTGGGCGTGAAGCTCGTGCCATACCCATTGTGTGTTCACTGCTTGCCCTCTGCTTTCAAGTGTGCGATGAAGCGGGGTTCAGTGGATCTGGGCTGGCTCTGGAGGCAGTTGCTAGGATGGGTTAGAGTATGGAATGACAGTCATGGGGGTCAGACAACGTGTGTATCATTTACTGTGACCACTACTGCTGTGTGTTCATTCCATATATTAACTTACTTCCTCCTGTGAAGGTAGTTAGTATGATAATTGTTTGCTTGTTACATTTGAGGAAAGTGAAGTCACTGTCCAGGGTCCCAGCTAGGAAGAGGCAGAGCCTGGCAGCCCAGCCAGCTCCTTGCCCTCTGAGGGACTGCTCTGCCGCTGCGGGGCCTGGGGCCCTGAACCACGCCAGCATTCGGGAGGGCTGCTGTCTTCCTTACGCTCCTGCTGCAGCAGCTCCTGGGCCTGTGACTTTCTGACAACCTACATTTTTAATCATGCACTGTGCCGCTGAAGGCGCGGGGCTCAAGGGCATGGAGGTCTTGTCCAGGGCCCTGACGCATGGCCTTGAAAGGAAATCAGGGCAGCCTTAGCACAGTGAACTGGAGCATTTCTTTCCTCCGCGATAGAGTTTGTGATGAGTCAAGACGAGCAATGAAATGATGGTTAGGGAAATGCTTTAGGAAACAGTGAAGGAAATTCTGTTAAAACTGAGTGAAGTAATATTGTTTGAAACCCTGTGGTTTAAAAAAAGAGTGGATACTCTGGGCAGTCCATCAGGATACCACCAGGGGCTCTTCCTGTGCTCGCAGCAGAGCCTTGAGCGTTAAGTTTGGAATTTAGGGATGTTTCTGTGTTGGAAATGCACACATGGAGTCATTGTGCCTTCTGCTTTCAAGGAGCTCATCCTCCAGTAAGGGAGTTAGATCAAGAATTTAAGAAAACAGGCAAGACAAGCTCTAAGGTAGATGGCGTGTCCAGATGCTTTAGAAGACCTAGGACGCCCCCAGCTCAAGGGGAGCAGAGGTAAAGCTGGGGGCTTCCCCTCACTGAGCAGCGCTGCGATCCTGTGGCTTTTATATCACTGTTGGCTTGGTGGGGTCCATGTGACACCCCCTCAGGATTAGTGCTTAGCTGGAAGATCTCACAGGACTCCGGAGCTGTTCCTTCAGTGGGTTTAGCAGAGCCTGAGGACTCGGGCAGCATCTGCAGTCTCGAGACTCCCGTTCGGTGCAGCCGCACAATCCTCACTTAGGTCCTCCCACGCCACACTGGGACAGCGTGTGGGATGTGGCCCACCCAGTACGCCCCTTGGAGTCTCGGTGTTCAGGGGTTGTGTTAGGGGCCGGCTGCCTCGCACAAACCCAAATTCCAGACCCCCAGAAGGAAAGCCAGCGCTCAGCAGAAACCACACTGTGTGCACAATTTGGGCATGCTCCCTTCCTGGTTCCCGGAATGGGGGGAGCCCTCCCGAAACCCAAGTTCCCAGATGCCAGCTGAGGCCCAGCCCCGCGAGCAGCTCTTTCTCAGCCCTGTGAGCTCTTCTCTGTGTCTCGGGCTGTGCCAGCCTTGCCATTTCCCACAGACACACACCAGAAGCCCCCGTCCACAGCTCCAGTTACATGAGAATAAGCAGATCTGCTCAGAGACCGCAAGCAGAAGAGCTTGCAGATCCTTGAAACATGCCCATGGTCATGCTCCAAAGAGTGGAGTGTGAAGTGATCACGATAAATTACATAATCAGACGAAACCATGTGAGATGACACGTCTCTGTGTGATGGTCTTGTGCGATTCATCTGCCAGTGATTGTGCTGATGTGTGAAACGGGCAGCTGAATCTTCAAAGGAGTAGTTTTCACATACAACATCTTTTCTCCCTTGGTTGCCCATTGTCAAAAATGGAAGGAGGCATACAGAGGTTGCTAATTTTACAGCTTACAGTGCGCGTGGGGCCCCTGGGGTTGCGCAGTGCGGTGGCCTAGACTTGAGTTCATGTTTTCATTTCATTTTAATAAAAAAGCAACTTTTAAAATAACTTACCATAAAGGTAGTGTCTGTCTATTGTAGGAAATTTCAGAAGTACAGAAAAGCAAAATTGAAAAAAACAAACAAAACACCCTTTTTATTGCTTAGAGATAAATGTTTAATCTCCCTCTCCTCTTCTTCACCATCTTAATTGTCAAGAAAAAAATCCATATGGGGAAACTCTTTATGTTAAGTCTTACTGAACATTCAGGGGAAGGCTAGTTTGTATATGCAGATAATATACTCTCTGCAGGCCTTGGAGAATAATCTGTTAAAATTAACACAATCCTATTGGACCTTCTCAGGGTCGACAAGAAGATGCTGAAGAGTACTTAGGCTTCATTCTAAATGGACTCCACGAGGAAATGCTGAACCTAAAGAAACTTCTCTCACCAAATAATGAAAGTAGGTTACAGTGTGCTTACTACAGAAGTGTGTAGAACATTTTTTTAGGAATCTTTCTTAAACAAATGCTATATATAATCCTCATATAATAAGTTGCCTTCTCCACAACAGTCATTCACCCTTCAAGAATCACTTGTTTGATAACTACTTTTACATTGCTTATTATGTACCACTGAGAATGTTATATTTTGTATATGTAAAAATTTGTCCAGAACCTTTGCTTTTTTCCCTACAACTTGTAATTAAGAAAATGATTAAACATAGAGAAAAGCTGGAAGAATAATTTGGTGATTACCTGTATGACTGATGGATTCTACAGTTGTTACCACACTGTCCTTACTGATCTGTTTCTATCCCCCTTGCCCCACCAGAGGAGTTTTTACTCTGAAAGTGATTCAAAATCAAGTTATAGATGGTGGTTTAGTTCACTTCTCCTGGTAAAACGTGCGTCCCCCGAGGTAGGGGTGACTTTCCTGGTACCCTGAGTCCCCTCGCAAGTAAAGGAGCCTGACTGCGATTATGCGGCAGAGTCTGCATCCCCATCCCACCGGCATGCCCCAGGTGTCCCCTGGTGTCATCCATCCCTGGTGAGACCAGCAGGGACATGGGGGCATCATGCCATTAATGGCGTTTGTCCCCAGTGTACCACTCACCCTGAGTTCACTCTGACACTGCAGTTGACAGATCTGTGTAGGTGGCTCGTGTAGAACCTTCTTTTATTTTTGTTCTTTGTGTTAATGTGTATATTGTAGCCTAAGCAGATGGTCTGCTTTTCAGAACTTACTATTTCCAATGGACCCAAAAGCCACTCAGTGAATGAAGATGAGCAGGAAGAACCAGGAGAAGGAAGTGAGGACGAATGGGAGCAAGTGGGCCCCCGAAACAAGACCTCAGTCACTCGCCAGGCGGACTTTGTTCAGACCCCCATCACGGGCATTTTTGGTGGACACATCAGGTTTTACGCTTTTCTTTTTCAAAAATACTTGTTTATTTGGCTGAGTTGGGTCTTAGTTGTGTCATGCAGGAACTTCCATCTATAGTAGCAGCATGTGGGATCTAGTCCCTGACCAAGGACCAAATGCAGGCTCCCTGCATTGGGAGTGTGGAGTTTTAGCCACTGGACTGCGGTGGAAATCCCGGTTTAGTTTTTTCTGGAATAATTTAGCATGTGCATTTTTTTAGTGTTTTGCCATTTTGCTGGAGGGCGTGGTGTAAGATTTGTCCTAAGACATTTTGGGCGGGATGGTTTGCCTCTGTGCTGTGTGCCTGCTCTGTTCTCGGGCCTCCTGACACTCGCCTTGCTGGCCCCTCAGGACCCATGGTGGCAGTCCTGCGGAAGGCAACACCCCGCTGGTCTGCCAGTGGCTCCTGGCCCCCTCAGCCCTGAGCACACTGACATTCCCCCTGTCAGCTGCTCACAGCCTGGAAGGAGGAGAAGGACAAGTTAATGGGAATACATGTTTTGTGAAGATATCTGTGTATCTGGTTGGAGGGGTTTCAGGCCCTGGAGCCAGCTGAGCTGGGAAGTTGAGGGAGAAGCTTTTACATTGAGGAAGATACGTGGCACCTCCTTGCCCCAGCGCCCTCAGGCCAGCTGCCCTTTGCTCATTCACGAAGTCCTTCTAGAAAGTTTTTGCTTATTTAGTTACGTTGGAGCTGTTCAGTACCATGTGATGTGGGGTTCAGTAGAACTTGTGCTGACTCCAAGGACCTCCTTGCTCCTCCAGAGTCCTCAGGGACCTCATTACAGCTCAGCCTTCTTCTGAAGGCCTTAGCTTCACCTCTAGGAGTGTTTTTTTTTTTTTTTTTTAAAGTGAGACTCTTAGCTTTCCATTTTTCTAAAAGAAGTAATGCCCTTTTCAAGGCATTGGAAGTTCGGTCTCTCTAAAACAGCTTAGGTTGAATGCCTTTCAGCAGGCTGATGAGAACCTCATCAGCTGACGATCAGGCCTCCCGGGCTGGTCCCTCGACCTTGAACATGTGGTTCCTGTGCCGTCACTGTGGACTGGACTCTGCGGGCCCCTTCCTGTTTTGGAGTCTGTTGGGTCAGTCTCCAACTGAAAGGTTTTCTCCTAAAATCCACCCCCTTCTGGGAGCTTTTCAGTTTCCCAAGGAGACCATCACCTTTCTCCACGTTTCCCACCCTCTTGGTAAAGTCCAGACCCATCACTGCTGTCGCCCCTGTTACACTTTGGGACCAAGGGAACAGCCACTGCTCTCTGGGCCGCCTCCTCACGAAGGCCTGGAGGTGCTGCCGTGCTGTGTGTCGGGGAAGCGGCGGGAGAGAAGAAAACCCTGGCAGGAAGCTGCTGACCTGCTCTTCACAGCAATTCCTCATGAAGTCTAACCCCTGTCCACCCCTTTATTTGTGTGTAAATTAGGGAACTTGTGATGCAGTCAGAGTTCTGTGTTGAGTTCCTTGCTGAGGCTTGATGAGGCAGAGCCCCAGCATATACTTTTGCTCAGAAAAACTTAGACACAGGAAAATGAATTGGAAAACCAGCTAAGGAAGCAAGGCTGAGCTGCGTCTGCCTCCCTGTCTCACACACCCTGCTCTCCTTCCTTTGTGGAGTTGTTTTCAGGGGTGAAGGCTACCCAAGACATTCTGTTTACCTTGGAGTTCACTCTTATTAAAACAGCCTGCGGGGACTTCCTTGCCGGCGCGGTGGATAAGAATCCACCTGCCAGTCACCAGTTCAATCCCTAATCTGGGAAGATTCCACACGTCACGGAGCAACTAAGGCCGAGCGCCACACTACTGAGCCTATGCTCTCGAGCCTGTGCTCAGCAACGAAGCGTAGCCCCTGCTTGCTACAACTAGAGAAAGCCCGTACAGAGCAACGAAGACCCAGCACAGCCAAAAATAAAATAAGAAAAATTTAAAAATCAGTCAATCAGTCAATAAAACAGCCTGCGAGACTTTGAGAGGATACAAAGAGAGCCAGCATTTTGACTGTGGCAAGATCATCACCTTTGCTAACTGGTGCATTAAATAAAGCGAAGAAGGCCTTTGGAAGCCTTCCAAATTTCCAGCTGGTGGATTGAGTTGCTAGAAATTCTTTCAAGGTGGTATTGAGCAGAGTTACATTAAAATTCAGCATAGTTTTGGCATTTCTGTCCTCTCCTGTCACCTGACAGAGATGCTGAATTATCTTGCTTGTGGCACTATAATCTCGTTTGTTTCTCCTATCCTGCTGCATAACCTCATGGGGAGCGGGAATGCGGGCTCTTAGGTGTGCTGTGCTCTCCACCCCCAGGTCTGTGGTTTACCAGCAGAGTTCAAAAGAGTCTGCCACCCTGCAGCCATTCTTCACCCTGCAGCTGGACATCCAGTCTGACAAGATACGCACCGTGCAGGATGCGCTGGAAAGCCTGGTGGCCAGAGAGTCTGTCCAGGGTTACACCACCAAAACTAAACAAGAGGTACGTTCGCTGTCTGTCTGGGATGTTGGTCCTGGGGCCCTCCATGGGGCAGGGGATGGGGGGGTGCGGGGGACACGGATCTGGAATGAGGAAAAGTGGGTTTCAGCTCTGCTCCTCAGATCAGTTGTTCTACGTTTGAGAATGAAATGGCTGAAACATCATTGTCTCTGGTTCTGACTGTGAAACTGGAGTCACATTTTCATTCATTCATCATTCGTGTAGTGTGTGAGACATTCGACTGTAGATACCCCATGGGAATGTAGAGATGACAGGGCCGTTTCCACCGTTGGGATCTCAGTCTGAATGAAAAGAGAGGTGAGAAAGCGTCTGGAAACCAAAAAAAAACCCAGGTGGTGGTGGCCACTAGGCTTGCTTCCCCAAAGCCTGACACCCTTCAGACACCTTCAGCCAGACAGGCGGGCACTTCTCCGAAAGTTTGCTGGGTGTTTTTTCTGTGCTGCTGTCTTTTGGATTGTGACTTGAGCAAGTATTTTCTACCGGAAGTATTCTCCATAGAAACACAGGAAGCATCAACACATTTGAAGGTACAGAGAACAGTACATAAAGAGGTTAAATTTGCTTCTGAAGATACATTTAAATAAAAAGCAGCATTCAGTAGACTTTTGAAAGTGCTTAAGGGGCATTTCAAATGGATAAAACTGGAACTGTTATAAAACCAATGGTTAGACCAAACATCTTTAAGGTCATTTAGAGCATCTAATGCAAGAAACACATTGACCTCAGCTTTCTCTGTATTATGAGAGTTACTGAAAAATGAGTCAGTAACGTATGTAATTTAAAGTATTACTAAGTTAGCCTTTGAATTTGTATGCCAGTTTAATGCCCTAGGACAAGAGTTCTTAACTTGGCCTAGGGCCCCGAGCTGCATCTGTAGGGATGTCAGCATGTGCTGAAGGAGGTCAGTGGCGCTCAGAATGAGCCCGCGGGCCTCTGTAGGGACCGGTGCCGCAGGAGGCGCGAGGCGCCGGCCCGGGAGGCTGAGGCGGCCGCCTGCAGTGAGACGGCTCGCCCGCTGTGCTCTCTCTCAGGTGGAGGTCAGCCGCAGAGTGACTCTGGAGAAGCTCCCCCCCGTGCTCGTGCTGCACCTCAAGCGGTTCGTGTACGAGAAGACCGGTGGCTGCCAGAAGCTCGTCAAAAGCATCGAATATCCTGTGGACTTGGAAATCAGTAAAGGTAACAGCTGTGGAAGGCAGCAGCGTTCATGGCGACACTGTGGTGATGCTGGAAACCAGCTAGTTTCTTAAAACTTACGCTTTTCTGTCCCCTGTCAGGATTCAGAAGCTCTCCTGATTTTTTCGTTTTGCATTTCTTGACTCCTTAATAGAGTTTTAGGTTAAAATTCTCACTAAAATGGCTTTTTAAAGACAAAGTAAAAAAAAAATGAATAAGCCATATGAACATATTACTAGGTGAGAAAAAGACTAAAAAATATAAAAACTTTATGGATCAGTGGTAATAAATACTTTTCCTTACACTGAAGATTAGCAACTGTGGGAGCAACCTTCTTAATTGGGCTTTCTAGAGGATGGGAATGTTGCCCTCTGGCACCAGTGGCCCTGCTCAGAGCTGCGGCCCAGCCCCAGGTCTCTGCCAGGTCACTGGGGCTCCAGCATGGGCACTTTGTGGTCCAAGCACCCCGTTGTCCTGCTAGGAGTGAACTTGAAGGAAAACTTCCCTGGAAAGCTTCAGAATTTATGAGAGATGTTATGTGTGAAACTAGAGTTCCCTCAGGAGCATAACAAGCCAAAGGTGATGCTCAGAGTGTCCAGGTGCCTGGAGACAGAGGACATGGATGCGGTCCTTGGGCTCCTGGAGGACCAAGCCTGCCATCCTCCTCCTCCCCACCCTCCCCGCAGCACCCAGCCCTGTGACCTCCTGGGCAGCAGGACCTGCTGGACATCAGGCCTGGGGTCACCTGCACCCCAGGGGCCTTGTACTTCCTCTTCCTACAATGGGCTCTGGCTTTCAGCCCTGTTTTTAGGAGTGGCCGTCTTCTGCCTATAGGTGTGCTTCCAGTGCCAGTTCATGGTCTGCTTGAGGACCAGAGAGGGGAAGAAATGCCCACCAAAAGTCATCTCACTGTTTACTGGAGTTTTGTGATCTGGCTCACATGGATAACGTTTCACATCTTAGGCTTTCCAGGGCTGCTTTGTTTTTATCTTGCTTTTCCATTTTTTAGAACCTCCGCTTGTAAGGAGTTTCTAGCATGAGCTTGAGGTTCACTGCCCATCCTCTGATGGCTGGGTTCTAGTGATATGGTTACTGCCTCCCTGCTCAGTTGCCTGCAGAGGAAGGGCTGGAGTGCTGGCGGGTCTCCCTGGTCCACGTGGTGGTGACTTTAATGGAGGCCGCTGTCTGCACCTTTCTGACACCCTAGTATGTCAGCACTTTTATAGATTAAAATTGTTGATATTTTGTTTTTCAGAACTGCTCTCTCCAGGGGTTAAAAATAAGAACTTCAAATGCCACAGAACCTATAGGCTGTTTGCGGGTAAGTAAACTTTGTACAACATGATATTTCCCTATTAAAGCAATAATTAAAAGGTTTTATACGCAGGCACAATTTTATACTGTTATAATACCATTTAACATAGAGAAAAATTGTTGGTATCCCTGTGGACTTTATTAGTCTGGAAATCATTTGAAAATCTGTCTTTTACCTAAAATTTGGTGTGTTTGCAACTTGACAGAATGTCCTCTTGGCTCTAAAGCTCAGCCCAGTGTATGACCTCGTTTCACACGATGTTTCTGTTTGGGAGCCAGAAGAGTGAGGTTGTCGGGCTGGGAACCCTCCCTACTGTGGCTGGGGTGCCCATGGCCAATTGTGTTTGCTTTTCTGGCCATTTTTATTAGAATTTTCTAGCTTTTCTCCCACTCTCCTTTTGTGTTGCCTTCTGTGAGCCTGTTTGTAATGACTACTGTTTATTGGCCCACACCAGTTCATTGACCTTTCCACCAGATACTTCTTACATAGAACCCCATTTAGTCCTTGACAGTTTGCTGAGAGGAACGCGGTGCTGTCCCCATTCTGCAGGAGAACTCACTGAAGCTGTGGAGGAGCACTGACAGCTCCGTGCCCTTCCGTGGCGGAGTAGAGCCTCACACTCTTGCCCTGGGTCCACCCCCAGTGCTCGGAATGTGGATATGGGCCCTGGTCGGTGGGTGGTCCAGAGGCCCTGTGAGAAGGTGTAGGCCCGGTCAGCCTTTTCTTCCCACTGGGTCCTGCTCCCTTTGACTTGTTCTTCTCCCCAAGGTGGCTCATCACAGCCTGGCCCCAGCCTGCTGGGAGCTGGTGGGCACTGCATTCCCCCCTGCCTGCTGTGGGCTGGACGCTTGGAAGCCTCTCTGCGGACTGCCTGTGAGGCCAGGGGCCCCCAGGGTGCAGCCTGGCCCCTAAGATTTGTCACTGAGGTCCCAGGGCACTAACATGTTTCCCTGAGTCCCCTGCAGCTCTCCCTTGGGGTCCTTGCAGAGGGGGTGATGTCACAGGCAGGATTAGGAGTCTCGTCTCCTGGTCAAGGGGACCATGGTGAGAGCATGCACCCCTGAGTCCCCATTGTGAACCTTCTGACCTCAGAAATAAAGTCACTGGATGGGTTGCAATTTTCTGTACAATGGGAGTAAAGAGGTACTTATTTAAAAATGGTTTTGACTGTGGGACAAAGAAAACGAGTTAGTACAGTACATAAGCTTTTGAAAATCTCTGGTTCTCAGCTCTGCTTCTGTGACAGTGAGTTTGCTGGGTATCCATGACATGTCACCACATTAGCTGTGGGGTTACTGTTTAAGAAGCCCGAATACAGGTAGAGGCTTCTCTTCTGAATATTTAGAATGAAGTGTCTCAAAGGAAATGCAAATCAGTTAAATCCACAGGTCTTTTCAGTCCCAGTGACCTGGTCACTTAAAAAAAAAAAAAAGCCCAAAACTCTGCCACGTCACGTAGGCCTTAGAGGGGAAGTGTGGCAACCTCTCCGCTGGGGACATAGGAAGCCGCCTCCTGGTGTTGGTCCCTTGGCTGGTTTCCCACCCGATGGCCCTACAGTCTTGCTCTTCTCATGTGACCAGTCACGTTCATCACTGGTGGGCCAGGGCCCCATGCCCTTTGAGCCCCAGCAGGGCCCAGCTCTAACCAGCCCAGGTCCCTGGCTCAGGGCAGGTTCGGGTCTCCTTTACAAGGGGAGAGTGCGCTGACGTTCAGGTGTATTTGTTGCTGAAATTTCATGCCAGATCGTGCCTCTCTGCCCTAGAGACTCCTTCATGCCACTCACGGTAGCACACAGCTCCCCCTGGCCGCACTGCCGTCCCCTTCCCCGAAGGTAACCAGAGGCTGCTTCCTTCACCAGCAGGCTCAGTCTGCTGCTTGGGCAGGCTATCCCTGGGTCCTCCTCTTCATGGAAGGGGGCATTGCCTTTCCGAAGAAAAACAGAGCAGTGATCAGTGTGCCGTGTCTACATGGTGGCTTCACAGGTGCCCACCCAGCCCAGCTGACTGCCCAGGCGACCCTCCTGGGGCAGTGCTGTCCTTGTCAAGGGTGACAGTCCTCAGCAAATCTCAGATTCTGGCTTTTTTCATGTAATGTAAGCCTATTTCTAAACCACCAAACAGTCCTAATCTGCCCTATGAAAAAATTCATCTTATTGTAATGTACTTGGCATTCCTCCTAGTGGGTTAGGCTTTTCCATGTTTCCACGCTGTCCCGGATTCAGACACTCTGCTGAGAACCGTCTGGAAGTGGGGTTGGCTGGATCAGGGCCTGGGGTTTGGGTCTCAGTGTGTGGTCCCCTAGGGCGCCTGGCTGACGGCTCTGCAGGCAGTGTCTGCTGTGTGTCCTGCTTCCCAGGGGGCTCTCTCCAGCCCCAAGTCTTCACAGGGCTCACAGATGGGATGACCCCATTATAAACTGGCATTTCTTTTATGGTTTGGGAGGTTTTGAACATGTTATTAGAGTATAGATGTGTGACTTTGTGTTGTGACTTGTCGGAGCGTTTTGAGTTTAGACAGCCTCGCTGTGTGTGTCATGTTTCTCTGTCCCACCTGCCTAGGTATTGGGTTTTGCGGGACTGGGGGGTGCCATAGGCACTGGTGTGTGAAGCCGCTCTCACGGCGCCCGGCCCTCTCTTGCAGTGGTCTACCACCACGGCAGCAGCGCCACGGGCGGCCACTACACCACGGACGTCTTCCAGATCGGGCTCAACGGCTGGCTGCGCATCGACGACCAGACGGTCAAGGTGGTCAGCCAGCAGCAGGTGGTGAGGCCCGCCGCCGAGCGCACAGCCTACCTCCTGTACTACCGTCGTGTGGACCTGCTGTAGCCGCGCCCGCGCCGCCGCCGCCCCGCTTCTCTTTAGTGGCTCTTTAGAGAGAAGCTCTTTCTCCCTGTCGCAAAAATGGGCTAGAATGAAAGGAGACGCCTTGGGGTTTGTGCACAACATAGCTTCTGTTGACTTCTAACTTCCAAATCAAAATCATCTGGTGAAAGAGACTGTCGCTTAATTCAAGAAAATACACGAGAAACGCATTTCTGAAATAATGCTGATTCCTGAGTAAGAATGGGAACTTGCGTTTGATTCCCGGTCTAATTGCATAGTAGAGTAAGTCCTGCACCAGCAACAACACTTGTAAATTTGTGAAAATGAATTTTATCTTTCCTTAAAAAAGATAAATTTTTTAATCATCACACTTTTGTCCCTCACCCTTTAGTTTTTGATAAATGATAAAAACGAGCCAGTTACCAGGGAAGAAATAGTTCTTCAAAAGATAAACAAACAAAAAAAAAGTTGCTGGTTCCTAACAGGAAAAATGCATTTTAATGATTGTGCGCTGAGAAGATGCTTCCGTACACACGGCAGATCAGATATTTGGAGTTAACGACGCCCATCATATAGAAGGGCGATTGTAACTTTATTGCCATCAAAAGATTTCAAAACACACTCATGCTTCTGTGTACTCATAATGAAAAAGGAGCAAAATGATGAAGATTGCTATTTCCCTCCGTCTGCTGTCTAATTCTGCTGTCTGCTCTTCTACGATGCCGCGTCTCTAATTGTACACAGTTAGTGATAGCTAGGAGTATACAGTTGTCGCCCATCAATAAAAATCACAAAGTTGGTTTAAAACTGCATGTGTGGTGTTTCTTTGATGGTGAGTGCCTTATCCAGTAACCAGAGTTCAAGCAGGTAGGACTGCGCTGCCGGAATTAGAGTAAGCCCTTGGTGCAGCCTGCCATGTTTGTGAACGCCAACCCAACCCTTAGATGGTCATTGTTCACTGTTCCAGAGTTCCTAATGCTAGTGATTTGGATAGGTGGATTTTTTAAGATCTTCAAATAGCAGAAGTGGGGGGTGGTGAGTGCTGTCCCCATTGTGTTGTCCCCTGTGTTGCTCAGTTCACAGAGGTGGGGGGGGTGGGTCTTGCGCAAGCATCCCCTTCGTTGCCTGCCACCAAGCCTCCTGACCATGCCATGGACACCACCTCTGCATGTGGAAAGGAAGCCTTTCGAGATGGAAGAGATGGAGAGACGTCATGTCGTGACGCCCTGGCCCATGGCGCCTTGCACAGGCCCCTCACAGTAGTGAGCTGGGGTCCCCAGAGAAGCTGACTTACGTGGTCCAAGCTCTTACTTTTAGCATCCGCTGCTCATAGCCATGTGTCACTGTGAGCTTACTTTAAAACTACAGTGCTGTTAGAGCACGGGGAGCCGCACCCAGTATTGTGTAGAGGACAACAGCCTGTACATGGATATAGCTGAGTCACCATGCCGTCCACCGGAAACGCAACATTGTAAATCAGCTGTACTTCAATAAAATACATGCACATTAAAAAATTGTAGCTCTAATGTTGTCCCCTGGGCCGGCTTGCTGTGTTGTTGCTCTGCTCTGAGTTGTTTAGCTTCTTAACGAGTCAATCAGCCTCTCATTAAAATGATGTACGATTGTTATGGAACATGTGGAGTCTAGAGTAAGTTTGTGGAAAGCAGTCTGCACAGCAGTAGCCCCACCACACAGGCAGGAGCCTGTTCCAGAGCCTGGCACTGTGTTCTACACTCTGATCTGCGCACTGGGACAGGGCGTCCTGTACGAGTGGCTTGCCTGTCCTGAGGTTTAGCCTCTATAACTGGCGTTACAGTGTCCCTGTGAGTCAGCAAGCGTCCTGTCCAGAACGAGGCCTCCCAGTCGGGAGGCGCCATTCCCAGGAATCTGAAACGGGCCAGGACAGAACGGTGCTGTTGTTGGTATACTGCCTGCTTCCAGATCTTAGCACCCACCCTGTGTATTTCGGTATTTTCCCTCGGATGTCATTCAGGGATCTCTGCATGGTCTTTTTTTTTTTTTCATTTATTTTTATTGGAGGCTAAAAAATATGGAACGCTTCACGAATTTGCGTGTCATCCTTGCGCAGGGGCCATGCTAATCTTCTCTGTATCTTCCAATTTTAGTATATGTGCTGCCGAAGCGAGCACTCTGCATGGTCTTTAAATTGCTAAGTCACCTATTTTGTCAAGCCCAAAGTATGTTGGAAACGACTGAAATATTAAAAAAGCTTTCTTCAAAAGATCTTGTCTCGGGCTTCCCTGGTGGCTCAGAGGGTAAAGCATCTGCCTGCAATGCAGGAGAACTGAGTTCTAATCCCTGGGTCAGAAAGATCCCCTGGAGAAAGAAATGGCAACCCACTCCAGTACTTTAAGAAAAAAAAAAAAAGATCTTGTCTCAGAAGTGGTTGGAAATGAATTCAGTCCAGCGGGCCATCGGGCGTCTCGGTCACCCTGTCCCATGTGGAAGTGCTGCATTCACTCCTGAGCGCTGCTGTCCCTTCTGGCACGTCAGACTTGCAGATTCTGTGTCTGGCAGCCAGTAAAGGGCTCCTCTGTTAACCTGTATACGAGTGTGTTGTCTGAAGGACCACCCATGACTTGCCACTCCCTGACAGCTGGGGTCGTGTTTCTGACAGACACAGCTTCCCAGTTTTCTTGCGCTTGGGCAGGGTCAGCACGCCTGGCTGCAGAGGAGCAACGCTCAGGAAGGGGCCGACCGTGTAATGGGAGATGCCAGCCTGGGATGCACAGCTGTCTGCCTTTGGTCCCTGGAGGGACTGATTGGCCCCTGGGAAAATGGTGTCGTTCTAGCAAGTCCAGTGCATTCTAGGGTCCCAGGTGAACTGTGGGCCTCTCCATGTCCTTGAGATTTTGGACTCAATGTTCAGTATTCTGTGCTGCAGATTTTAGTATTTTTTAGAAGTATCATAGACTGTTTTCTTGGCTTTAAGGTTATTTACACTCAGACCTTGGCCCATGAACCTTGTTGCTGGGGTTGCGAATTGAGTGATTTGACATGTCTTAGTCACTGGCTTTTAAAGCATTGTGAATGCTAGGCTGATGTTGGAAGCGTTTCATTGGGGGTTTTTTCCTTACTGTGTGAAATACGGTGAGCAAGACCCGGAAGTCCTCCTCCAGGAAGAATAAAACCGGATTTATCTGGTTGGTATGTTGTGTGCCCAAAGCCAAGAAAGCACATGTGCCGCTTTTCATAGTGGAAGATGGGTTCCATTCAGAATGGAACGATGGTAGTTCTTCCTTTCTGCTGTTTGTACAGCCACGTTCAGCTGTGCCACCCAGCAGCTCAGAGCAGCCGTTTCTTAAGTTCTCAGGTAGTCAGTCAGTAGTCATGGTCTACTGTGTGTAGTCAGGTAGTCACAAGCAGTAACTTTGTAGTCAGCAGATGCATCATTGTCTGTCTTTCCCTTTGTGGAAATTTCTGGTGATTGCTCTCATAGGCTACTTGTACTTGACTGGACCAACTAGTGAGAGAGCCAAGATGGTAGTCAGAGGCCGTTGCTTCAAGTTCACCAAGGAAGCCAGTGAGCTTGGTGCTGCCCAGCTCTCGGCTCACCGGCAGGAGTTGGTGCCTTCCCAGTGTGGCTCCTTCAGCCTCGTTTGTGACGTTTCCCTTGGGAAGTGCTTCCTGCACCAGGAGAGACCGGAGGCTTTTCTGTACTTCTCTGTCTCAGGAAGGAAAGATACCTTGTTGACTGGCCCCAGCGAAGGCAATACCTGTTACCACAATTTCCTGAGGGTCATTGGCTTAAAAAACATTTTGAGAAAAGTCTTAGTGTTTAAAAAATCGTCCACATCTAGAGTAAGGCCATGTGTGAACAGCCTTTCTGTACGCATAATGCTGGTTCTTTCTTTCAGTCATAGCAGATTGCCAAGCAGGCGTGCTTTTTCCTCATTAAACTTTTGCTCTTGCTTCCTAGCATTTTTTTAAAATCTGTTTTTATTCATCCTTTGAACTGATCGTTGCCATCTTATTTATATACCTTTTGGAGATGAATGTATTTCAAGATGAATGCTTGAAAAATGAGATTTACTTCATAGCTTGACTTCACCCTGTGGTGATATTTGTTTTATTCAGGGATAAGCAAATGAACCATTGAACAATTTCTTGGTCCCCGAACCACTTTGCTGTACACCTGAAACTGATACGATGTTGTAAATCAGCTATATCCCGATATAAAATAAAAATTAAAAAAATCTGAGTTTTGGTTTCTTTCTCCTCAAGAGGAATGTACCTAGCTGCTGTGTGATTCAGGAAGTGTTGTTTAACTCTAGGACTTAATGTGCATCGAGTGATACCGTTCAAGATGTTTTCATCTTTCATGTATTCCGTTTCCTCCTGGATTCCATTTCAGTGTCTGCTTTAATCTGACATGTTGGATGTATTTACTACTGTTGGTTTCCTAGCAAATCAGTATGAGGGTGGCTTTTGTTTATTCTGCGGCATCAAAGCACTCAGACCCGAGTGTGTTTGAAGCACTTCTGGAGCTCTTCCCGAGAAACCCCGTGTCCGTGTCGGCACAGTTGGGAGTTAGGTGGACCTCGGCCCAAGGTTTGTCTTGTCCTGTTTTGAAATTGTAGCTGGCTTCTGTTTCTTTAGACACCTTAATGCACACAGAGTGTTTTTGGTCTCAGCTGTCAGGGCCTCCATGAGCCTTCACGGAGCTCAGGGCAGCTCTGGGACTCTGGGGTGGGGTCAGGTGAGCCTGACCTTGAGCTCTCACCTGTCCTCCAAAGAAAGTCGATTTCCTCATGGATTTGTTGAGCATTGGAGGGTCTGTACGTGACTGAAGAAAACAATTTTTCCTCTGCTGTAAAAAAATAAAAGACTGCAGGTCTTTTACATGAGCGTGGATTTCCTGACCAATCTGAGAACGGACTCACTCCCTGTGGTCAGCAGCGGGCCAGGCTCTGGGCTGTGATGCCCGGCGGGTGGATTGCTTTCAGCTCATCTTATCACCTACAGCTGAAAGCAGTGTCCTCCTGTGCTGGGCGGAGAGTTCAGTGGGTCGACTCTGCCCTGTGGCTTCACCCTCCTGACTTTGCAGCGAACATCCACCCTTCACGTCCCAGGCCAGCGAGGAGGTCCTCCTGGGGGGCATGCAGTGATGTGAAATCTGTTTGTTTTTGTCACGGTGTGAATTAACTTTGCAGTAGTAACACCCCCTTTCTGGGAGGATCTCTTCTGTTTCTTAGGGCTTCAAACCCTCCAGGTGCACTGAGACCACACCTCCCGGTACCAGACGGCCGACTTCGGTGGAGCCCTCCCCTGGGGCTCATGGCCTGGAGCGGGTCCCAGGGGGTGCTGGGGCCTGTGGTCGCTCTTGTGGCGCTCCTGTTTGCTGCCCTCCCTCCCCCAGAACCTCCCTCCAATTGCCCCCCTCCCTTCCCCTCTCTGCGCAGCCTTTCTCCTTTGGCACATTTTCTTAGGATGCTCATAATAGCCAAGGGGACGTGGGGCTTCCTAGGGACCAGGCCCAGCTATGAGGGCTTCCGGGCACTTGGCCCTCTGACAACTGGGAGTATTCCGTACCTGTGCTGTGCGGCTGGGGGGCTGGCCCCAGCCTGAGTCTGCTCGGAGCCTCTGTGCTGTGCCCTGTGCCAGCACTCACCCCTCCATCCCCAAGGCTTGCCCAGCTCTGTCCTGGCCTTTGGGAGTGAGCTGGCGTGGCCAGAGGAGCCTGGTGATGCAGCAGAGAAGCACAAGGGCAATCTGGAGGAATGCTCCATGCTTATGGTACTAAAAGTAATGAAGGGGTTAGAAATCGGGGTGCAGGAGCACCCAGCCTGTGCTCCGAACTCCCCCTGTGCTAACCAGCTGTGACCTTGGGGAGGTGGCTGGTATCCGAAGTGGCGGGGGATAGCACTGGCACATGGGGTCAGGGACAGGGTTAGGCCAGGTGACAGGTGGCATCCGTAAGCAGAACCTCAGGGCTCAGCAAGCCTTGGTCACCTGCGTCCCTTCTGGTATCACAGGGTCAGGTCTCATTTCTCATAACTCGCCTTTCAAATTTTCTGCCTCCTCCCTGCCTCGACCTTTGACCCTGCTTGCCTGTCCCCTCAATTGAGCTCTGCTGTCCTGTCAGTTCTGGATGCTTCTGTTGAAGCCAGGCTTTAATTTTTTGTTAAATTCACCACCACACAGAAAGAGGAAGCCAAAGATTGGTCCCGTGTAAGATTTGCATCTAACCTAAGTATTTTGGTCCTGTTAGTCCTAATGGTGACAGTATGTAATATGATTCAAAAGTCAGAAAATTAAAATTGAAGTTCACGGCAAAAAACAGTACACAAACAGCGGCAGCCCCAGCAGGACGTCCTCGCAGGGTCCGCCAAGGTCCATCCTTCAGCCCGTCCTTGCCATGGGCAGGACCTGTGACCTCACGGCTCATCCCAGCCCTGGGGTCTGACCCCCTGGCCCACTGAGCAGCTGACTCGCTGGGTCTTTGCAGGCCCCCGGTGCTGACACCACCGGCAGGCTTGTGGCTTGTGGAGCAGGAAGGGCTGGGCCAGGTCCTGCCGCCTCTTCAGGGAAATGACAATATAACCTGGAGCGGGGGGGCAGGGGGAGGGGGAGGGGGAGGGAGACATTTGTTCTCTGCTGGCGTCCGTGGTGGTTTGGAAAATCTTGTGAAAGGGAACTAAGCGGCTACCATGAGTCTGCATGTTCATATGGGTTGTGTTTAACTTGGAACGCCCGCAGCCAAACCCTTTAATTTCACTCAAGTAAAAGTGATGCACTGACTAAACCATCCTGTCCTACTGAAGTTGGTGCTGAGGGGAGGGTGGTGGTGTCACATGGGGGTGGCAGGGCTGGGCTAGAGGTATGACTTTGCACACAGCCCAGGGCACATAGCATATTCACACTCCTGTGCAAATGTGTTGAGTGTTTCCAGCACCTGGGACCTCCACCTCTGTCTCACCAGTGCCTGACGTCTGTCCGTCATACATCACTTCTCACCCTTGGCGCTGTGGCCATCTATGTGTGGGTGGCTGCCCTGTGGATGGTGGGGTGTTAGCAGCGTCCTGGCCTCACAGTGGGTACCAGCTGCACTCCCCCTCCAGTTGTGACAACAGGAAACCTCACCATACATGGCTGAATGTCCCCTGGGGGTCCACATCACCCCTGGGTGGGAACCACTGCTATAGGGAGTTTGTTTAGGATCTCGTAGAAACAACATCACACAGCCTGTACCCTGTGTCTGCTTTTACCCAAGGTTATCTGCAGTTGTAATCACCCTGGTGTAGCAGGGTCAGTGCAATCTCTTGGTGTCAAAATCCCCAGGGGGGTGGGAGGAGGGCTTAAGCTCACAGAAACCTTGTATGCAGAACACGCCAGTTTTAGTAATAGGGTGTCCACTGATAAATGATTCTCAAAATGATAAACTCTTCATAGTCCAGATAGAAAACCGTTTTCGTCCTGATTACCACTGGTTGAATGCTCAGTTCAGTTCAGTCACTCAGTCGTATCCGACTCTTTGTGACCCCATGGACTGCAGCACGCCAGGCCACCGTATCACCATCACCAACTCCCGGACTCCACCCAAACCCATGTCCATCGAGTTGATGATGCCATCCAACCATCTCCTCCTCTGTCATCCCTTTCTCCTCCTGCCCTCAATCTTTCCCAGCATCAGGGTCTTTTCCAGTGAGTCAGCTCTTCGCATCAGGTGGCCAAAGTATTGGAGTTTCAGCTGCCGCATCAGTCCTTCCAATGAGCACCCAGGACTGATCTCCTTTAGGATGGACTGGTTGGATCTCCTTGCAGTCCAAGGGACTCTCAGGAATCTTCTCCAACACCACAGCTCAAAAGCATCAATTCTTTGGCACTCAGCTTTCTTTATAGTCCAACTCTCACATCCATTCATGACCACTGGAAAAACCATAGCCTTGACTAGACGGACCTTATTGGCAAAGTAATGTCTCTGCTTTTTAATATGCTGTCTAGGTTGGTCATAACTTTCCTTCCAAGGAGTAAGCGTCTTTTAATTTCATGGCTGCAGTCACCATCTGCAGTGATTTTGGAGCCCAGAAAAATAAAGTCAGCCACTGTTCCCCCATCTATCTGCCATGAAGTGATGGGACCAAATACCATGATCTTAGTTTTCTGAATGTTGAATGCTCACCTGATAGCAAATGCCAGGCTAACCAGGTGCCATGGATTCTTTGCACAATATCTTCCTTATCTTCGCTGAAATCTCAAGAAGGGGGCCAGAGCAGTCTGTCGATAAACGAGGGAGCAAGTTTAACTGGTTGGTGGTTTGCAGAGTCACCTCGTTTCATCCACCATGGATGTTTCCCTCCCGCTCAGCCTCGGAGAGGGGCAGAAACCAACGGCCCTGTTTTTTGGAGGAAGTTTGCGTGTGTGACAGATGCAGTCAATGTCTGGATCCTGCTTCCTGGTCCCAGGCCGGCTCCCCCTTTTGCCCGCAGAAGGGCAACCAGGGCCGATGGCTGGTTAATCACACAGTTCTGCCCCTTTCAACTCAGCCATGCATTTGCCACCTTGAAAGGCAACTCCCACAGCCCAGTGCAAAACCAAAACAGAACAACTCCCCCACAAAAAAACTGAAAGCAAATACCTTCATCCAAATATCACCAGTGCTTGTCTCTGTATGTTCTCCCCCACCCCTGCAGTCTATTTGTGTATTCTAATTTCTCTACAGTGGATATTTTTTTCCTTTGTAAGTTTTAGAAATGTTTTTTCCTCTGTGTCCCCAAGCCAGTCCAGGTGGCTACTGGAGGTGCCTCTCCCATCCCCCACCTCTCTAAGAGTTCTAAGGTCTGAAGTTTGGCCGTGTTGCAACCCCAGAGGCTTATCTTGATGCCAACTATTGGGGAAGCACGTGTGTCCAGTCCGTACCCTCTTGGAATTGAAGCACTGGTTTGAGAATTCACGTGAAACTCAGTTGCGTGCTCTGGAATGCAAGCAGC